GTGATATTCTACCATTATATATTTTCACCCGAGTAACCCGTCCTGATGGACTGAAGGTGTTAGCTCTAAACGATGATGGACAAGATTGTGTTGCCACTACCAATGTCGCCTATGGTGATATTATGTTTTCTTTTTTAAATAAAAAAATTGTTTATATATCTAGACAAAAAATATATCTACCATACAAATGAATTAGGATAGCAATTCATTCCTATAACTGAATTGTTAGAGAACGAGCACATTTGCCTAACTTATGAAAATACTAAACAATGATAAATAAAAATCTTCAAAGTTAAAGCACCGCATGCGTACATCTAGACATTAGCCATTAATTTGAGCAATTATTTGCACAAATTCAAGCAATGATAACATCAAAATACATAAACAATCCAAATCATATCTTTAATTGCACTATATAATATTTGATGTTCTAATTTAAATAATTATATATCGATTCAAATATTCTTTTTTTTTGGTACGATTCAAATATTCTTAATATATTACAACAAATCCATTCCGTGCATCGCACAGGTGAAAATACTAGTTATTTCTAAAAGAAAACGAATTAACTATAATATATGTATTATATGGGATATATATGAATACGAGCTCATCGACTTCCCATAGAAAATAGTAATGCAATGGGCAATGGTCAATTGTATGTGGCTTTTCTCGAATCACCCATCCTGATGGCCTGAAGGTGTTAGCTCTAGACGAGGATGGACAAGATTTTGTTGCTACTACCAATGCCGTCTACAAAGAGATTTTCAATAATGTGCAGTTCCAGCAGCCAATGATATTATGTTTTCTTTTTATGCGAGGATGAAAAAATTGGTATATATCTACACAGAAGTTATATCTTCCATACAAATAAATTAGGATAGAAAATGATTTATATAACTGAGTTGCTAGACAACGAGCAAATTTGCCACTTAGAGTGCGTTTGGAAACTCGAAAAATGATTTCTGGAAATCATTTTTTTGCGTTTCCAGTGTTTGACTAGAGGGGGGAAAATGAAAGTCAATGAAAAATAGGGATGTGGTCAATGAAAAATAGAGAGAATTTTCTGGAAAATGACTTCTCCTTTTTTTATGGGGGGGGGGGGTCATTTTCCGTTTGTGGCAGGCTGGCAGCGGAGCAGCCAATCACCCGTCGCCACCGTCACCACCACCACCCACCACCCCTACTACCACCCCCACCCCCACAATCATTGTATATTTTAAATATTTAAAATTAAAAATAATTATACTCATTTTTCAGAAAATGAACCAAACACACCAAGACAGTTTTCTGGAATGCAACCAAACACTAGAAAGGAAAATGTTTTCCTACTTTCCAAACACACCCTTAATACGAATCATAAACACTGATGTATAAAATTTCTAAATTTTCAGCACCGGATGCGTACATTTACACATTGGTTATTAATTGAGTGTTTATTTGCTCAAATTCAAAAAATGATAACAATAGAAAATACAGTCGATACAACTCAATTCTTCAATTGAACTATATAATATTCGATGTTATATATAATTTATGTAATTGTATAGCGATCAAAATATATTCTTAAAATATTATAACAAATCCATTACGTGCATCACACATGTGAAAATAATAATAATGATAATAATAATAATAATAATAATAATAATAATAATAATAATAATAATAGTTTTAAAAAAATAAAAAGAATAATAATAATTTAATAAAAGAAATAAAATTTAAAAAAAAAAAAAACATATGTGGAGCCGAACGTTCGGCTCCCCTTAGTTTTGCCACGCATGGGAGCCTTGAGGCTCCAATTTAAAAATTAAGCTTGCCCATCCGTTGATGGGCAAGCAATGAGCTAGCAAAACTGGCTCTTGTTATTCAAAGAGTCGAAATGGCTCTACAGTAATTTTTTTTTTTTTTTTTAAGTATAGATGTGTTTTGGGAGAATCATTCTAAAAAAACTGTTAAGTGAAAATATTGTAAATTGCAATGTTTGTATGTTCAGTGATTTGGAACAAATTGTTGCTTCAAACTGTTGAATAACCAAACACTTTCTTTAGCATTTTGATCTTTGGGTTACATCATATTTACCAATCGTCCAATATCTTTGGGTTACATTATAATTAAACAAATTAAATTTTTACTACATCTAAATTCCTTAAATTAAGAATTTCTTTATCCATAATAATTTATTCAACAATAATGGTTGAACTAAATGAACACGGAGCAAAACACCTAAAGGACTGGAATCGTTGATTCATTCATTGATCTTGTATATATGTGCATTCATTAAATATATTAGAACCATTTGCAACAAAAATACTTGGTTACTATTTAAAAAAAGTTTAGTAACAATTATAATGAATCTCATATATTACATTGTATTTATATACTATGAGTTACATGTTTAAATAAACAAATTCGACATTAAATTACTTATGTATGAACTTTGCCGGAAAACTGTTATAGTTAAAATAATGAGGGTATTTTAATCTTTTTGCCTCTCATTTCTTTCTTCCCCATTTCTTCATCGGATTTACTTCAAATTTTGCCGGAGAAAACACACCGACGCTGGTTTCTGGTATCCCGGCTTCAAATCACAAAGAAAAAGAGGAAGAAATAGGGAAAATTCAATGTTTTTACAATGAAATTGTGTATAATACGTGAAGGGTTTCTGGTTTGCTAATTCGGACCGTTTCCATCAAGCAAAGCCATACTTTTACTTGTCAAACCGGAAATTGCATACAAAGCGTCTTTATTTTTGCCCCCAATGCAAATCCCGTATCTGTTGTAATTGCAAACCAGAACTTGAATTAATAAGACCCCTATAATCATAGGACTAAAATTGAAATTTACTCATATTATTATATTACTCCATTCATTTGGAAGAGACCCAATCGATATTTTGCGGACTATTGTCCATATTATAAGGATATCTGGCAAATTATTGTATAGACCATGGTTCATACAATTGTGTAAACCATGAATATCAGGTATATTTTTAATATATTAAAAGTACATTATTTTTATACTGAAGGTACATTAAATAAAATAATGTATCCTAAGTATATTAAAATGTACTTTCAAAAAATGTACCTTACGTACATAAATAATGTACCCTTAATATATTAAAAATGTACTTTTTATTTATGGTCCCCACAATTGTGTGGATCATGGTCCATGTAATAATGATTGAGGATATCTACAATGGTTCTCCCTTTATCTCCCTAATTTGTGAGCTCAACTCTTCCCCATCACCATATAATCTCCTATAATATTTTTTTCTCCAATCCTTCTCTCCTTTTCTCCATTTTGTGTGGGTCATACTTCTTCACACTCCTATACATCATCTATTATTTCATTTACTTATCTATAATTAATAATTTTAACTTTATAATTATAATTTTTAATTTTTATTTTAATTAAAAATAAATTTAGGTAACAATAAATTGAGAGAGGAAAAAAAAAGTTATGAACCTTTGGGAGATTTTCGAAAGGTTACACAGTACCTCTGTGTTACCTACCATTCACAGATTTCCGAAAGGTTAAAAAAATAAATATTTTAATTTGATAAAATATAATTAGTAAATATACTTAATTATTTTATCTCGGAAATATATTATTTAATTAATAAATATAATTAATATAATTAATTATTTTTTATAATTAATAATTTTAACTTTATAATTATAATTTGTAATTTCGATTATAAATATAATTTAATAAATTATGAAATAAAATATATTTTAATTTTATAAAATATAATTTATAACTTTAATTCAAGCAATTAAACTCTCTACGAAATTTAAATTAAACTACAAATTTAATACAATTTTGAAGTGATGATAAACTTCTTCTTCCGACAGCATTAACCCGTTTTTGAAAGGATTCAAACCTACCCGGCCTCTAGTGCAAGAATTATAGGCTCATTTATGGATAGTGGATACATCATTACTTCATTTGTTCATTACGAGATTTTCCTTCAAGTTCTAGTGTAAGCAATCCCCATGGATGCTCGCATATGCCATGACTATTAACAAAAGTTAGGGTCAAACACTAACTCATGTTTGGTTATTACTAAAAAAAATTGGTGTTTAATCACGGTCAATTGTACGTACCTTTTTCCTTAGTCACTCATCTTGATAGCATGGAGGTGTTAGCTCTAGACGAAAATTGACAAGATTCTGTTAATACTACCCATGTCGACATGTCGTCTACAAAGAGGTTTTCAATAATGTGTAATTTGAACCGGTGATATTATTATTTTTTTTTTCAAATACAAATCCTAAACACTAATATAAAAATTCTCAAAGTTTCACCATCGGATGCTTACTTCTACACATTAGCTATTAATTCAACAATTATTTGGTCGAATTCAAGCAAGGATAACATCACAAAACATAATCGATTCATACCATCTTTTCAATTGCACTATATAATATTTGATGTTATAATTTATATAATTATATATCTATTCAAATATTCTTAAAATATTATGGGAAATCTATTTCGTACATCGTACGGGTGAAAATATTAGTATTGTTGAATAGGAATATAAATTTTAATATTGTTATATTGTATTACGAACAGAATTTTAATGTGGAATTCTAGTACGAATAGAAAAGTAGGAAACAATATATTCTATTAGGAGTTTTATTACACTATTTTATAATATTACGTAAACCTTAATAGTATAGGATTGGGCGGATGTTAAAGTGAAAATTAGATTAATAGTATAGATGGATAGTATTGATTGATTAAATTAATAGTAAAATAACGCCCTGTAATTTTAATCTAAATTATTAATAACCGATTCTTTTTCTTTTTTTTTTTTGTAAAATCAGAATTTGATAACCATTTTTCATTTTTAAGTACATATTGACTTTAATTTGTGATAACAATTCATTTTATATATATATATATATATATTAGTTAATTCCCAATTTAGGACATTGTATAACAACTGGCAAACAGGTACATGACGCGTCCATACAATTGACCTCTATCCTCTAAAGTCTTCCCTTCAATTATTTAACACCAAAAATCAATATCTCATAAAATATAATCCTTAATTTCTCCCTCATTTTTTTTTTTTATCTGATATCCATTTCTTTCCTCTTATTTTTCTACTTCAAGAAATCTGCAGTGTTCTTAAAGATATATATTGGATCTGAAATTCATTTCTCTGCTCATTCACTCTTAGATCAGAGGTGAGTCGTTCTTGAAATATTGTATTATTGTTAGTAAAGCTATTTCTTTCATCACTTGTTTGCTTAGTTTTTTCTTTTAATTTGTACTCCGTATATAACAATATATGTATATAGTTGGTCAAAGTGAGGGACTCTTTGTGCGCAGTGAGCACCGGTCTAGCCTCTATGGTTCATGTTCAGTTGAGTCACCATGATTTACATCCTCCCAAATGCTTTATCGGGCCGGAATGTGAGAGACCCTTAAAGTTGGGGTTCAACCTTTTTGGAAGAATGTGTATATAGTTGGTTCTGTAATGTTCATTAAATTAGTTTATGAATGGTTGGTTAGTGCGGATCTGACGATTCTTCCCTTTCATCTTTATCTTTTTTTCTTTTTTTTTTTTTTTCTTTTTTTTTTTTTTTTTTTTTTTTCTTTTTTTTTTTTTCTTTTTTTTTTTTTTCTTGAAGAAAGCTTTTCATCTTTATCTAATTTCGGGAAAATACAGGCAAATTATAATCTTAGCTTCCACGAGTTAGTTCTATCCATCAATTCAAAGTGTTCATCTCGAGATCAAAGCTTGTGCACACTTACAAAGGTTCGTAAGCTCTTGTTAGTCTGAACTTTAGTGAAGTTAATTATCGAGTGAATTCCATTTTTAGTCCTATTGTTATAGGGGTGTTTTCAATTTTAGTCCACCTTAATTTTTTTTTGTCAATTTATAACCACTATTATTGAATGTGTTCCACTTTTAGTATCACCGTTAGTATTTCCATCAAGAGGCCGTGTAATCTAGGGGTATTTTGTCCTTTCTATTCATCCAAGACTATGTTTGACTAAAGAAATGAGAACATTAAACCTAAAACTTAAGAAACTTCGCCGGCCCATGTTGGAACGAACGAAACGATGTAGCTTTGGCTTCACATTCTCGTTGTTCAAAGAGCCATCTTCGAATATCGGAGGAGGAGGACGAAGCGCCTGGATTAAAAGAGAAGAGACAAACATAAAAAGACCAAAATACCCTTTAGTTATACGGTCTCTTGACGAAAATATTAACGGTGGACTAAAAGTAGAACACATTCAATAACAGTGGTTGTAAAGTGACAAAAAAAATTAAAATAGATTGGAATTGGAAACGCCCCTATAACAGTAAGACCAAAAATGGAATTCACTCTTAATTATCACAAGATTAAGTATGCACACAATACTATAATAATGGGTAATTCTCGATCACTTCCCATAAAACACAATTTGAAATTATCTGTTACTGTATAAAGTTTATCAATCTAAAGTAGCTTATTTCTAAAGATACATTTATATTTCTTAAAAAGTCAAAACATTAAAATTAATTTATATACTCTCTGTGCCGACAGTCTTTATCTTTTCATCGTGTCTTTTATCAAGTGCTTTGCCTCTCAAAATTTTATCACTTCCTTACTTTGTTCTTTTGAATATATTTCTAACCAATACAATACAACGTATTTGAGATTAGAAAGATGCCAAACATCTCTGATAAAGCTGTGGGTTTCAAGAAGGAAGCAGAAACAATCATAAATCGGCTTATTTATGGGTCAAAGGAGAGAAAAGTTGTTTTAATTACAGGCATGGGTGGATTGGGAAAGACAACTCTGACTAGGAGAGTGTATGAGGAGAAAAAAGTAGCCAAACACTTTGACAACAGTGCATGGTGTACAGTTTCTCAAGAATATGATTACAAGCACTTGTTGAACAAAATATACAGTCAAGTATGTGGTAGGGGGATAGAGATTGGCAATGTAGCTGAAGAGCTTCGCAAATGTTTGATTAGAAGGAGATATCTCATAGTGTTGGATGATATTTGGAGTGTTGAAGCATGGGAAGAGTTAAATAGAGTCTTTCCCTCATGTGACAATGGAAGTAGAATTGTTTTAACAAGCAGAGAAGAAAGTGTGGTTTCTGATGCCAAATATATTTGTTGTCTTCCTTTCTTCACTATTGATGAGAGTTGGGAATTATTTCAAGTGAAGTTATTTAAAGGGAATGAATGTCCTAAAGAGCTTGAAAGTATTGGCAAAGAAATATCTAAAAAGTGTGGGGGGCTACCGTTGGTTATTGGCTTGGTAGCCGGGCTTCTGGTAGGAGTTGAAGAGAGTGAGCAAATGTGGCAAGAATTTTTTCTTACTTTAAACTCATATGCTGAGTTTAGAGAGGGAATACGGAGCAATGACGCGATAGAGCTTAGTTACAAGTATTTATTAGATCATTTGAAACCATGCTTACTTTACTTTGCAGCATTCCTAGAGGATGAAAGAATTGAAGTTTCCTATCTAATAAAACTATGGATATCTGAAGGGTTCATAGACATTAAGAAGGAGAGAGTAGAAGACACCGCAGAGTATTGTTTGAACCATCTGGTTGGCAGTAACTTAGTAATGATTTCTGAAAGGAAGTACGATGGTGGCATCTTATCATGCATTGTTCATGATTTGATACATGAGTTTTGCTTAGCAAAAGCTAAAGAGGAAAATTTCTTGCACATAATTAAGATGGAAGATAAGTTGAATCCAACTCTGGAATTTACTCCACATCGGATATCTTTCCATAGATATGTTGGTAATGAGATTCCTAATGAATTGGTAGCATGGAATTCTTCTATCCACACACTTTTTGGGTTACCCAAAGGTTATCATAGACTATGATGCAAAGGTTTATAATGGCTCATGGATTGCGAAAAAATTCTTGGATTTAGAGTTCATTGGTGTGGATAAATTAATTTTAGCTGAAATTAACTCACTAATTCATCTAAGATATCTGGCTCTCTATCTATGTGGATGTGGTTCTGTCTCACCATCGTCACTGAAGAATCTTGAGGGTCTCATAACATTAAAGTTGACTTCAGACAAGGATTTACATTTGCCAAAATATTTTTGAAATATGAAAAGTTTGAGACATATGATTATCCACCACTATGATTGTGATTCATACCCAACAGTACGTACTCCAGTTATTGAAACAATTTTTGGTTTCTTACAGACTTTGTTTGAGAATAAAGTCTTACAGACATTAGATTTGAAAACTTGTTTGACTACAAGGGAGGAGCATTTATTGAGGAAGCTTCCCCATCTCAAATATTTGAGCTGTCTGGTCTCGCCATCATGTCCATTTCCTGAAATTCACATTCTCCATCATCTTGAATCTCTTTGGTTATACAATACTTGCAATCATGATCCACATTACCGTGGGAATCCACATCTTCTTAATGATCTTAAACTCACCAAGTTTCCATCAAGTATTAAGGAAATAAATTTGAAGGGTATTACTCTTTCGTCGTCAGCAATTTCAATAATTGCACAACTCTCCAATCTTGAGGCTCTAATACTAGCGTGTTGCAAGTTTGAGGAGGGTTTAGAATGGAATGTGGATGAAGAAATCCAATTCCACAAACTAAAATACCTCCAACTAGACCATCTTAATATTAGAATTTGGAATATTTGCAGTGAAGAGTCTTTTCCTTGCCTTGAGCAAGTAATTTTGGATTATTGTGTGGAGTTACGGGAGGTGCCTTATAGATTGGCAGATATTTTAACATTGGAACTACTCAGTGTGCGTAGCTGCCATAAAAGCAGTAAAAGTCCAGCGAAGAAAATTGAGGAAGATGCACGAGACATAGGAAATGAGCAACTTAATGTCGAGATTATATCAAGTAAGTGAAATGTGCAGACAGACTTCTGGTCTTCAATTCACTTTCAATAGCATCCTAAGCCTATGTATATACAGAAGAATCAATTAAATGCATTTCTATTTTTGGTGTTGTGCGTGGGGTCCTACTAAGTTTCTTCATTTGTTTTTCAAAATTATTGACAGGTAATCTAGCGACAGGGTGTGTTCGAAAAAGACTTCAGCAAGGGTTGGAACTGTTTTTTTTTTTTTTTAACGGAGGGAACTGCTTAAACAATTTAGTTAAGAAGTGTGACTGTCAGACTGTGTGAGCAGTAAAGCAGTTTGATGTGTGAACTACGTAATTACAACTTGTTATCACTTCTATATCATTAGTAGCTCGTAACAACTTGTGAACTAATATCATCCGTTCATATAGTCTAGCATGATAAAAAGTTGAAAATTAAATAAAAATGATGTAAAATTTTTGTAATTATAATGGTTCATTTTGGAAACATTATATAGTGCATCAATGGATAAGTGACACTACACTATTAATTATCTCTAGATGCAAGTATTGTCAAGCGTTTTCAAATGCACTATTGTCATTGCAAAAATGTAACTGCATTTTTTTCATTTTTTATTAATTTTCAGCGCTTAATTATCTTAGATTTATGGATGGGATTAGTCCGCAAGTTTTCATGAAACTAATCTGTTTATTATCACTTCTATATTCTGAAGTGTATGTGACGGATATATTGGGAATCGACCCGAACCGACCCGAGGGCGCGAAGCAAGAACGGGTCCCGGGGCGGCGCCACGTACCCGCCCCGGCCGAGGCCTCGCCACGTGGCCCCCGCACGGGCCACGTTGGAAGCCGGGCCTGCCTCTCCAGGAGGCCGGGCCGACCTCCACATGGGCCCGGCCTGGGCCCATGATGAGCTCGGCCTGGCCCCCGCAGCGCGGCTCGGTCGCGAGACCGGGCGAGGTCAACTCCAGATCCAACTAACCCCCCGTTTTAGGGGGAGGCGGTTGGGGGCTTGGCTTGTATAAAAGCCCCCCTCCTTGTCCTAACAAGGCACATGCTATCTACGCTCTACATTTCCTACATACTTTGTCCTAAAATACTACTGTAATAGCCAATTCTACGGCATTTAATACAATCTACGGTCTCACGGCCTTTACTATATCATTCGTATCATTTATTTATTATTCGTACTCTTATTCGGGTTAGTTAAGTCGGACCCCCGGTTTAATTAATTCCATCAGTATGTATGTTGTTTAATTTTGTTTGCTACATATATTACGTATACAATCAAACCAGCTCTTGCTCCTTTCAAAAAAAAAAAAACAAAAAACAAAAAACAAAAACCAGCTCTTGCTTTTTCATTATTATAAAAAAAATTACTCCGTACTTTTTAAAAAATTGATATTTTATGTTTAATAAATTTTTTAATAATATAGTTTTAAAATATATAAATTTTATTCAATAATACTAAATTAAATATTGTACAAAATTAAACAAGCAATTGCAACGTAAGTACGTAACCATGCATTTTAGAGCAAAGATAGAAACATTCTTATTTCATTTTATATTTAAGATTACTTTCAGGTGGTCGGAAATTTCATAATTTCCAACAGTGAGTATAGTCATTCCAAAGTCCCCTTTGTATTAACTATTCTTAGCCAATTAAGAATATATAGCCATTTTTTATTATTTCGATCAAAATTATTGTCCTTATAAATCCTTCATATAAATACATATATTTCCAAGCATTCTTCAAACTCATACAATTAATTTGTTCGCTTCCCATCATCGTTAAGACATGATAATATTTCCATGCATTCTTCAAACTCATACAATTTCTTCATCTTCTTTTATTTTGATTGATGAATAAAATTGAACAAATAGTTATAATCAAACCCTATATTTCTTAAAGCAATTCAAGGTTCCAAGAGATAAAAAAAGATGCCAAACATCTATGAGATTGATAATGATAAAGTTGTGGGTTTTGAGAAGGAAGCACAAACAATCATAAATCAACTTATTCATGGTTCAAAGGAGAGAGAAGTTGCTTTAATTACTGGTATGGGCGGATTGGGAAAGACAACTTTAACGAGGAGAGTGTATAAAGAAAAAAAATATAGTCAACCACTTTGACAAGCGTGCGTGGTGTACTGTTTCTCAAGAATATGATTGCAAGGACTTGTTGAACAAAATATATAGTCAAGTATGTGGTAGGGAGATAAAGATGGGCAGTAGTGTATCTGAAGAGCTTCACAAAAGTTTGATGGGAATGAGATACCTCATAGTGTTGGATGATATTTGGAGTCTCAAAGCATGGGAAGAGTTGAATAGAGCTTTTCCCTCATGTGACAATGGAAGTAGAGTTGTTATAACAAGCAGACAAGAAAGTGTAGTTTCTGATGCTAGACATATTTGCCTTCCATTCTTCACTATTGATGAGAGCTGGGAATTATTGCAAGTGAAGTTATTTAAAGGGAAGGCATGTCCTAAAGAACTTGAAAATATTGGAAAAGAAATATCTAAAAAGTGTGGGAGACTACCTTTGGTAGTTGGTTTGGTAGCCGGGCTCCTGAGAGAAGTTGAAAAGAGTGAGCAAATGTGGCAAGAAGTTCTTAATACTTTAAGCTCACAAATTGCATTTAGTGGCAGAATACAGAGTAGTGATGCAATAGAACTTAGTTACAATCATTTACCAGATCATTTGAGACCATGCTTACTTTACTTTGCAACAATCCCAGAGGATAAAATAATTGTAGCTTCGAAATTGATAAATCTATGGATATCTGAAGGATTCATAGACATTATAGAAAAAGAGAGAGTAGAAGACGCTGCAGGGGATTGCTTGAATCATCTGGTGGGTAGTAACCTAGTTATGGTGTCTGAAAGAAAGTATGATGGTCACATCTTATCATGTGGTGTTCATGATTTGGTATGTGACTTTTGCTTAACAAAAGCTAAAGATGAAAATTTCTTGCACATAATTAAGAAGGAAAATGTGTTCGATGACTTGGATCCAACTCTAAAGTTGACTCCACGTCGAATATCTTTACATATATGTAGTGCTTATGATGGGATTCCGAATGAATTGGTATCTTTGGAATTTTTCTATCCGCACACTTTTGTGTTTTAGATATTCTAGTTACACTCTTTATGATAGTCGACACAATAGCTCATGGGTTGCTAAAAAATGTGAACATCTCACAATCTTAGATTTAGAGATGATTAAAATGGACATATGAATTATGTTCGAAATTATATTCATTTTATTGTGGACTATAGGCAAATATTATTGCGTGAAGAGAAGGAAAGAAAAGGAACTGAATCACTACATTAGTTTGTTGACTGGTAAAGTAAACTTCATCATCTTTACCGAATAGAAACTGCCACCTTTTTATATACTTAGATGACAGTTGCAATAGAATGAGAAAGGTTATAAGATATCCTTTTTACCCCTTTGCTTCTCCCTCTAATACCCCCCGTAAGCTGGAGTGTGCAGATCCTGGACACCAAGCTTAGATACAAAGGTGCTGAACATGGAGGAGGCTAAGGGTTTTGTAAAGCCGTCGGTTATCTAATTGATAGAGGATACAGAGAGTAACTTGATCAGACCTTGGACAACCCTTTCTCTCACAACGTGGAAATCAATCTCGATGTGCTTCGTTCTCTCGTGGAAGACATGGTTCTCAGCTATTGCTATAGCTGACTTGCTGTCACAAAATACAGCAGCTGGTGCAGTTGAGGTGACATTCAAATCCCGAAGAAGAGAATCCAGCCACTGTAATTCACAAGAAGTCGTGGCTAAGGCCCGGTATTCTACCTCCGATGAAGATTTGGAAACGGTGGCTTGTTTCTTGGAACGCCATGAGATGAGGGATGTTCCTAGGAATATGCAGAACCCCGTGACTGATTTGCGTGTCTCAACACAAGCTCTCAAGTCCGAATATGAAAAAGCTTTGAGTTTGAGGTTGGTGTTTGCCGGATAGAATAAACCTTGGCCTAGGGAGCCTTTGATGTATCTTAATATGCGATGAGCAGCTGCCATGTGCTTGTCAGTAGGCGAGCTTACAAATTGACTAAGTTGATGCACTACATACGTGATGTCGGGCCTGGTTGCGGTAAGGTATAATAACCTTCCTATGAGCCTTCGATAGATGCTTGGATCAGTGAGAGGCACACCATCTTCATGGGATAAGGAAGCACCTGGCACCATGGGCGTGCAAACTGGCTTACAGTTTAAGAATCCTGCATCATCAAGAATATCGAGGGCATACTTTCTTTGGCATAAATTTAGCCCAGTACTGCTGATTTTAGCTTCAATGCCAAGGAAATAACCAAGAACACCTAAGTCCTTGATTTTAAAAGCTGCATGCAGTAACCCTTTTAGCTCTTGTATGAGAATCAACTTACTGCTTGCTACTAGGATAATCGTCTACGTAGACTAGGAGAGCGACAAACTCTTCACCCGTGCCTCTTGTGAACAAGGAGGGATCTGCACTGGACTGCTTGAAGCCAACACATAACAAGGTAGCTGTTAACTTGGCGTTCCATTGGCGACTTGCTTGCTTCAAACCATAGAGGGACCTTGTCAACTTGCACACTTGATTCTGCTTATCTGTCTGGAAACCAGGGGGAAGAACCATGTACACTTCTTCCTCTAGACCACCGTGGAGAAAGGCGTTATTAATGTCCATTTGATGGATGTTCCATCCTTTTGATATTGCCACAGCTAAAAATGTTCGAATTGTTGTTAAGCGAGCTACCGGAGAGAAAGTCTCGATGTAGTCTACTCCTAGCTGCTGTGTGTACCCCTTAGCAACCAATCTTGCCTTATAACGCTCCACCGTGCCGTCTGTTTTCATCTTGACTTTGTAAACCCATTTGCATCCGATGGGTTTCTTACCAGCAGGTAACTCCGTTAATTGCCAAGTATTATTTTCCTGGAGTGCTATTATTTTTGCTTTCATGGCGTCTTTCCAGCATTGGTGTTGAATTGCTTGATTGTAGGTTCGAGGTTCTGCAATAGAGGTGACTGCCATGGTGAAAGCTTTGTGCGATGATGAGAGACCACCATACGAAAGAACTCTGGACAGAGTATGATGGGATGTCTTCTGCGTTACTACTGAATCACAGTAGTAATCATATAGCTTGTTTGGCACTCGCTTTTCTCTGGTGGATCGTCGAGGAGCTAGAGTGGTGGTAGCTTGTAACTGATCATCATTTATAGATAGCTCATGATCACATGGTGGCTGGGGAATCCCATGATCTTGTGATGCACTAGATGGAGCTTCATGAAGGGGTTGATCGCCAAAGGCTTCATGAGACAGCCGATTGGTAGAACTATGATCACCTCTGCTGTCTATCTCATGTGTGAGCTTCTCAGTATACTGTGGGTTCATGATGTTGTGTGTGGGCTGCTCTTCGAAATCCAAATGTGTAGTCAGAGGGATGTTTGGCAAGGGGGGTTGAACAATTGCTCAGTAGCCTTCATATTTTGCTCCAGAAATGGGAACTGCATCTCATAAAACATAACATCACGAGACACAAATATGGATTTATCAGCTAGATCATATAGTATGTAACCTTTGATGTTAGCAGGTAGCCCTATGAACACACATTTTCTGCCTCTCGAATCCATTTTGTTTCTCTGGTGTGGCAAGGTGGATGCAAAGCAAAGACAGCCAAGGACCTTAATGGTTGTGAGGTCCGGATCTCTTCCATACAACTGGTGGTAGGGGCTTAACCCTTCAATTACCGGAGAAGGAAAGCGGTTGATCAGAAAAACAGCGTGTGAGACACAATGCCCCTAGAATTCTATAGGAAACTTGGCTTGAAACCGGAGTGTTTTTGCAACATTAAGGATATGTTGATGTTTTCTTTCAACAACCGCATTCTGTTGGGGGGTGTTGACACAAGATCTTTGATGAAGAATCCCCTTTTCAGCAAAGAAATTTCCCATATCAAACTCAGGTCCGTTATCACTTCGAAGTACCTTGATTAAGACACCAAACTGAGTTAGAATAAGGCTATGAAACTTCTTTATTAAATCCCTGACCTCTGACTTCCTTTTCATTAGATGAAGCCAAGTGATCTTGAATAGTCATCTACTAGAGTTAGGAAATATTGTTCCCCTTTCATGGAATTAACTGGAAAAGGGCCCCATATATCAGCATGAACTATCTCAAAGCAAGCACTCGTTGAAGAAGTACTCAAGGGAAAGGGAGACCGTTTGTGTTTAGCTAGATGGCAGACATCACATGCTCTATTTTGGTGAGTCATTTTTGGCAAATCCTTGATCAAATGCATTTTATTTACTGGAAAATGCCCTAAACGTTGATGCCAAAGCTCAACTCTATTGCATTGCATAACCAAATTTTCATGATTAGAGGCAGATTTTGCAGGTGGCTTTGCCATGAGATACAAACCCCTCTCTTGTTTAGCTAAACCAACCCTCATCCCACAAGGCTCCTGAATTAGGCACAGTTCAGAAGAGAAAATCATATTGTAAGCTGTATCCTAAAGAAGTTTTCTTACAAACACTATGTTAAATTGAAAGAATGGAATATGCATTGCATCTTTTAGCCACAAGCCCTCTCCAAACCGTATAATCCCTTTGTGTTTGACAGCAACTCTTTCTCCTGTGGGTAAGCTAACTTCATTCCCCTCAACAACATAATATTCATCAAAAGATTGGAAAGAACATGCAATATGATCGGTGGCCCCAGAATCTAAGATCCAAGTAGTATTGCATATAGAGATAGAATTAATTTGAGAGCTAGGGAACTTCCCTTTATTCTGATCTTCATTAAATCTGGGAACGGGGGAGATGGCTGCTGATGTGCTTGAGCTGGAGGACTGCCCAATCTGGTTTTGGAGTGCTATCAATGGAGGACTCACGAGAATGAGGTTCGGATTGTCGTTTGAACCAAAGAGAAGAGGGTATTCCAGATCCTCTGTGCTGTATTTTCTCTGACTTTGTGAAGGAAAATTCCACTGCGGAATGACTTCTAGAGCTGGTGGAGTTGTCGATTGACTGATCAGCGATTGGCTAGCCGATGTTTCAATTCGTCCTCCTTGATTGACCTCGCCGGCGCCGGAGACGGCAGCGGCATAGGAGCCAGAACCTGGGACCTGTGGATTATCTGACTCCTCTGCGCTTGAGTTTGTGTTGTTGATTTGATTCCTCTGCGGAATCATTTCTGGAACAGTTTGAGTAGGAGATCCCGAAATCGGAGTCTGCTGCGTCGCTTGGCTGGCACCTCCGACGCCGGAGACGGCGACTGCATAGGAGCGCAGTGGCTCTGATACCATATTGCGTGAAGGGAAGGAAAGAAAAGGAACTGAATCACTGCATTAGTTTGTTGACTGGTAAAGTAAACTTCATCATCTTTACAGAATAGAAACTACCACCTTTTTATATACTTAGATGACAGTTGCAACAGAATGAGAAAGGTTATAAGATATCCTTTTTACCCCTTTGCTTCTCCCTCTAATAAATATAGCTGCTGAAATTGATGGTGATGATGGAATTGAAGATTATACAGTAAATAATTGACTTTACTGCTTTACTACTTTACTACTTTACTGTTTTAATAATCTAAAAGATTATATATTCATTTTGTTGTGGACTATAGGAAAATATAACCGTTCAAAATGATGTTGATGATGAGGATGGTGATGATGATATAGCTGCTGAAATAGAGGGTGATGATGGAATTGAAGATCATACAGTAATTAATTGACTTTGCTGCTTTACTACTTTACTGGTTTATATATCCATTTTGTTGTGGACTATAGGAAAATATAGCAGTCCAAAATGATGTTGATGATGGTGGTTGGCATATTGAGGAACATTGTCCATTTGTTTCTCAATTTGTCAACGACAATGAAAAAGTACTATCTGAAATGCAAATTCATGAGTTACATCTTATTGATTACTGTTTTGTTCATCGTGTATCATCATTAATTGAAAAGTAAGTGAATATTTTAATATATACACTTTTATTTTCATTAAAGTAGTTAGAAGATATTATGAAAATGTGTTTGTATTTGGTGGAAAAAATTTTATTACTTGGAATGACATTGGAACCTTGAATGATAAGAAGATGATATGCAGAACTGTTATTTAGGCTTGGTGTTTATTGATGA